AACTGCTCGGGAACAGCCATTCGTTTGTCAGGAGCATAATTCCTAGCAATGATTAGTTAGCAGTAGTGTCCCATGTCCAGTGGTATTGGTGATATGGTTTACAACCCTAAGCACCTCTTCACCTTGTTTTAATAACTTTCATTCAGATCCTTGGTTTACTACAATGCACATAATCTATACTGTGCTGTCCTGCTAAATTGTTGTGCTCGGGAACAGCCATTCGTTTGTCAGGAGCATAATTCCTAGCAATGATTAGTTAGCAGTAGTGTCCCATGTCCAGTGGTATTGGTGATATGGTTTACAACCCTAAGCACCTCTTCACCTTGTTTTAATAACTTTCATTCAGATCCTTGGTTTACTACAATGCACATAATCTATACTGTGCTGTCCTGCTAAATTGTTGTATGTTCAAACTCATAAATTTTAGCTTTTTCTCCCCTACCTATCTCATGTAATAAAAAGGGTTTGGGGTTGCTTCCTTTCTTCTGAATACTACTTTGACTTTAAAATAAAAATATGAATGCTGTATATAAAATAATGACCTCAATGAATATGTTCTGATGTCTTTTGCAATGCAGCTGAATTTGGGCTGAAAGGAAAATAACTCCAGCCTGAATGAAAAAGTTAAGAGTCCAATTATTTTCCTAGAAGGGTGACCTGAAAGAAGAAGAGACTGCTAAAACATTTTGACAAGAGTAGTTTGTTATCCCATTAGACCATTCTCTAGATTTCACTGAAATTAGGGTTGCCAGATGGGTTAACCAAAATTACCGAACACCCCTCCCGCCTCCGCCCCCCAAAAAAAACACCGGGGAAAAAATTCTGTTGAGAAAAAAAAGGGGGAGACCAAAGTTGTTGAGGAAAAAAAAGGACCCCGACAGTTATTAAGCAAACAAATTTTTAAAAACCAGCATGGCCCCTTTAAGAAAGGTCTTTGAGGCTTCTTACCAGCGGCCATCTTTTTTTCCTGCTCTGAGCCAGAAGACAGCTCCCCTGTGGAACCAGGTAAGTGGGAGGACCGGGGGCTGGGCCCGGTTGCTGAGTGTGTGTAGGGTTTCCAGGTGTGTAGTATTTTCACCTCCTGGCAGGGGAAAAAAAATCAGAAAATATTGGACATTTTATGTAACCCTGGCAACCCTAACTGAAATGCCTTTGGACCTGAGGCCTGGTCTACACTTCTAGACTCCAAGGCAAAAAGGGCCGCTGTGATTATTTAGGCTGAGCTCCTGCATAACACAAGCTGCAGAACTTTCCACAAAATAATTGCCTGAGCAAGTCTTTTAGGAAAGCACTTGTATAGCTACATTGGCTAGAGATGTGAAGTTTTTTTAACAAATATAATTAATCAAGATCTAGATGTCCATTGTTATACAAGTGTAGATACATTTATACTAATATTAGCAGAGTTACCCAGAGTTGCCTGGGTCTTTAGGACCGGGGGGCTGCTGGTGTGAGAGGTGCAGGACTCAGGGCAGGATCTTGGGAATGTGGGAGGAGAATGCAGAAGGCTGGAGGTGGAGTGCTGGGGTGCTAGAATGAGGGTTGGGGGGTGGGTGTCCCTTTTCTCTCTCCACAGAATTCCCAGCTATTTCAAAGACTTTATCTATGCCATCAAATTGAACCATCTGTAACAACCAATTAAAGAAAAAAATGTGCCAGCACATTCACACCTACTGTACTGAACCAGTCGTACTGAGCTAAACAACTTCACTCACAATGCATTCTGGACACCCAGTCAGAAGCGACGCATTCTGAGAGACTGTATGGCCAGCAGGGCACTGTAGAACACTAGTATGAGAACCAGCACCAGTTTAACAAAAATCA